AAAAGCTAGGATTAGAGGTCCCATTCAACCCAACTATTCCCCTTCTGGATATTTTCCCAGAAGAATTAAAATCATCATATCACAGAAATATATGCAGACCAATGTTTATAGCAGCACAATTTGTATAATCTTGCAAACAACCCAAATGCCCATCCACTAAGGAATGGATTAAAAAAAGATGTGGTATTTTTATACAATAGTGTATTACTTGGATATCAAGAATAAACTCGAGGGGCTGGGGATTTAGCTCAGCGGCATAAGTGCCTGCCGTGCAAGCAGGCGGTCGTGAGTTCGATCCCCGGTACCGATAAAAAGGAAAAAGACAAAAAAAAAAAAAGAATAAACTTGAGGCTTTTATAGGTAAACGGATGCAACTTGAGACCGTACTTATAAGTGAAATAAATCAGACTCACATGTGTAAGCATTGCATTGTCTCCCTTGTGTTCGAATCTGAAATAGTAAATAAATTCCAAAATGTACAATAGATATTGTGAAGGGGAAAGAAACTGCTGAAAAGGAAAGAACAACTAGGATGAGAAAAGGATATAAGAAAAATGGAAAAAGGAAAAAAAAACACTATATAATGTGTACACATATGACAGCTAATATAGTTATATATTAATTTTGTTTAATTCATTGAAGAGAATGGTTTGTGCTTATATTGTTTGATCAGTTTTGCATGCCCATATCTTGTATTATGAGCAACTATTTTGAAGATAATAATACACAATATATTAACCATTGTAAATTTCCTACATTGATATGGAATTCTTTATTGTTTTTATTATTTTCTTTTTAAAATAAGAAAAGAACAAAAGATAGAAGTTTTTCATTCCATTATCTCAGATTTTTAACTGTTATCTCATTGGTCCTCGGGTTTGATTTTTTTTTAAAAATTCCTGTGCTAGTTGGGTGTAGTGCCAAGGCCTATAATGCCAATGATTCAGCCAGATTGTCTCAAAAACTAAAAGGGGCTAGGATGTAGCTCAGTGGTAGAGCACTCCTGGGTTTGATCTCTGTCTTAGGTTACTTTTCTCATGCTAAGACAAAATATTCAACACCCAAAGTTAAAGGAGGAATGGTTTATTTTGGCTCACAGTTTATTGAGGTTTCAATTCATCGTTGGACGGCTCCAAGGCCGGTGTGGCACAGCAGAGGGGCATCACAGAGGAGAAACGGCTCATAGGGAGTAGAAGGCAGCAAAGAAGTGATCACAGAGACCCTTTTTCTGAGGCCAGCCTGGGTAACTTAGCAAAACTCTGGTTCAAAATAAACGACAGAAAAATGAGCTGGGGCTGTAGCCCAGAGCAAAGGCGCTTGGTTCAATCTCCCTTTCTAGAGCCTCGTGCATGCCTATGAAGCACACTATACTGGGGAAGATCCCCAGACCAGGGAGCTACTTCCTAATCATGTTTGGTTGCCGAGCCCAGTAACCCTGAATGGGGAATACAGTGGCAAAAAGCAAAACTGAGCTGCGTAGCACCCTGGGATTCACTCAAGATGCACTTGATATATGAATGTGAGAACCCGTTATGCAATACTGCAAGGAATAGAGGTTTAAAAAATGAAGTTTTTCCTGGTGTCAGTTGTCAGTTTGAGAGGAAGAGGATGTGAGTTCTCAGAAAGAATATGGAAAGATGAGGATAGGCCCTAGCACAAAGAATGAGAAAAGGAGATTCTAATTTTGCTGGTGTCGACCAGGGGTACCTAACCCATGGAGCATGATACCTGAGAGCAAGGAAAATGGGGCAGTGTTCAGGAATGGTATGGGGTGTGTTGGCATTAAAAAGCAGCAGCAGGTGTGTAAGAGAAGGGAACTTGTGGGAATGTGGATTGGAGCTGCTATTATGGAAAACAGTAAGGAAGTTCCTAAATAAATTAAAAATAGGAAATATACAGGTCAGCGGCACAGCACCTACAAGCATGAGGCAAGGGGCAAGCATGAGGTCGTAAGTTCAATTCCTAGTACCAAAAAAAAAGAAAGAAAGAAATTTAAAATAGCATTAATATATGACCCTTCCATCCTTCTTCTGGGTATATATTCAAGGAAAATGAAACCATCAACTCCATAAAGAGCTCAGTATTCCTGTGTTCACTGAAGCACTATTCACAAGAGCCAAGATATAGAAACAGTCAAGGGGTGTGTATGTGCATGTGTGTGTGTGTGCATGTAAGTAAAATAGAATATTATTCAGCCTTACAAGAAAAGCATTCTTTTTTATATATGGCTCTGGGGGTTGATCCCACAGATGGGGCAAGTTCCACTGACACACATTCCCCAGACCCCTCTAAAAGAGGACAGCCTGCCAATGCCACAATACGCGTGGACCTGGGGGACCCGGTGCTAGTGGAATAAGCCAGACAGAAACACAGTACATAACTGTATCATATTTATGTAAAAACGAAAGACAAACACATAGAGATAGAAAATAACAGTGATTACCAGAGCTGGGGTATAGGGCAGGAGATGGGGAGATGAAGGTAAAAGGATACAAAACTGCAAATATGTGAGGGATGAACAAGTCTAGAGCTCTAAAGTACAACATGACTATAATTAATACCAGTGGATTTTATATGTAGGATGTTTTTGAGACAGCGTCTATAACTCAGGGTAGCTCTGAGCTCACTATGTACCCTGGGTTGGCTTTGAAGTCAAGGCAATCCTACCTGAGCCTCCCAAGTACTGGGATTATAGATGTATACCATCATGCCCAGTTTGCATGCAGGATTTTTGCCAAATGGGTAAATTATAACGTCTATTGTGTGTATGGAAGTAGTTTTGTGAAATGATAGATTTGTTTTCACAATAGTAACCATTTTACCATGTAAATCTATCTTCTGACATCACATTGTATACACAATAAGATTTATTATAAATATATAGTTTTGACCTCACAGAGCCCCTGAAAAGTCTAGATTCCAGATTTCCACGAGTCAGCAGACCACACTTGGAAAACTGCTGATCTTTTTTTTTTTTCCAATCTTTTTAGGACAGGGTCTCCCTATGTGGTTCAAGGCTGGCCTTGGGCTCACTTTGTAGCCCAGGCTGGTCTTAAACTCGTAATGACCCTCCTAAGAGTCACTAAAGTACCCAGGGCTGATCCTGGAGTCTCATAATGTGACACCCAGCAATAGTTTTATTCTTTGTTCAGAATGATATTAGCCTGCTTGGGTTTGTTCATCTCAACATAATTGAATGTATGTTTAAGTGTATAGGATTGATAACCGTATTTCTGAGTTTTTGTTGGATGGTTGAACAGAACTGGTTGCAGTCTCACTATTTGAATCCCCACTTTATAAGTTCCACTTTAGTATCTTGAATAACTACTTGTAAGAGGACAATCTGTAATCATCAACTAGTGATTTCTTACTGTTTATTTTTTTTTCTTTGAAAGTATGTATTATTTCTACTTGTTTTCTGTTTTGTTTAGTCTTTCTTTAAATAAAATTAAAAAGAAAAAGACACTGCAGTACCCAGTGTTGATCCCAGAGTGTCATGATGTGAAATCCAGCAATACTATTTTTCTTTGTTCAGAGTGATTTTAGCCTGCTTCAGTTTGTTTAATCTCAACATAAATGAAGATATGGATAACTGCATGCATGTTTAAGTGTATAGGATTGACGACCATATTACTAAGTTTTTGTTGGATAGATGAACAGAATTGGTTGCAGTCTCGCTGTTTGAATTTCCACTTTATATGTTCCATTTTTGTATCTTGAACAACTATTTGTAAAAGGACAGTATGTAAATATCAACTAGTGATTTCTTACCGTTTATTTTTTTCTTTGAACGTATGTATTATTTCTACCCGTTTTCTGTTTTATTTAGTCTTTCTTTAAATAAAATTTAAAAAAAAATAAAAAAAATAAATGATCCTCCTGCCTCAGCCTCTGGAGTGCTGGGAGTACAAGAATGTACCACTACATCCAGCTAATCTAATATAGAATTCGAGAAAGGGTTCAAGAACTAAAAGATATATGTTTCCAAACTGAAATTACTAACTTAACACCCAATAAAGTGTTTCCAAACTGAAATTGCTAACTTAACACCCAATAAAGTAGGAAAAATAGGTCCAGATCAAGTACATTATTATGAAATTATGGAACAGTAAAGACACAGAGACAGACTCTAACAGTTCTTAGAGTGTAAAAATAGGCCAAACCCAAAGGATTGAACTCTTACCAGTAACATCACAACCTAGAAGGTGATAACAATACCTGCAAAACTAGGAGGGAAAATGGACTCTAACCTAGACCTTTGCAGGCAGGCAACCCACCAATTAGATGTAAGGGCAGTTGTTTAAACAAAATACTTTCAGACAGCCTGGGTCTCGGTGACTTACCATCCTACACACTCTTGGTCAGGAAGAGAGTGAAGGAGGATCCACTAAAGCACAGACATGAACTGGGAAAGAAGAGACCCAGAGCCTGGGCATGGTGATGCACACCTGTAATCCCAGCACTCAGGAGGCTGAGACAGGAAGACTTCCACAAGTTCAAGACCAGCCTGGGTTACCTAGTGAGTTCAAGGCCAGCCTGGACTACATAGCAAGACCTTGTTTCAACAAACAAAACAAACAAGAGATCCAGCACCTAGAAAGCAAAAGAACAACCCCAGAGGAAAGCAAAGTGAATCTCCAGAGAGGAAGTGAAGACAACAGCTCTATTGCAAGTCTAGAGAGCAACCAGAGCTGATGAGATCAGCAGAGGACTCCATGACCATGGGACCCAGCTACTCAGCCCCGCTAGAGGAGTCTTCTCTTTCTTGGCTCTTTTTTGAAGCACCCCCCACCCACCCGCCTTCTCCCCACATATACAGATTGGACAGCTGCCCTCCCTTACACTCGGGCCACATTCTGTCTTTAGCCCTTCCTAGATCAGCAGCTTCGACCTGCGTCACATTTCCTGCCTGCCTCCCAGCCCTACTCCACAGCCATGCTGGCTCACTTCTTTGGCCCTCTTTGCCGACTGGGATGACCACCCTCTCCATCCCCAAGCACCTTGGGGAACATGGTTGCCATGCTGCTCAGACACTCCCTGTGCTGCTCCTCTAGCTCCTTCTGTTTGTCTGTCCAGGCCTGCAGCCTGAGCCTCTGCTGGTGGTCAATGTTTCCCAGGAGGACACAGAGGCTCTGGGCCATGTTGGAGGCCCCTGTTTCTCCCGTGACTTGCATGTGGTTGATCACTGCTTGTCTGGGAAGAGAGGAGAAGAGATGAGTCTGTTTTCTGTAATTTCTGGGGGCAAGAAGAGAAACGGAGGCTGATGAGAACTGGGGAAAATAGGGACCAGGGAAGTGGGATGTGGTATCAGGGGAGGAGCCTCTAGGTTGAGCTACAAATGGGAAGAGAAAGTTGAGCAAAGGGGTGGCCACACATTAGATGGAATTATAGTCAGGAAACAAGGAAGAAATGGAGATGTAGGCTTGGGGAGAAAGCCCATTACAAGGAGAGAAGCATTTAAATGCTCTGTTTCCCACATCTTCTAGGGTTGCTCAAGGGCCAGAAGCCAGGGGACTTTTGCTTGTCTCCTCTTTCAAGAGGCCTGGCCCAAGCCCGGTGGTTCTCCCTAGTGCCTTTGTCTGCACCCCTCCTCTTGCACTCAGTTTTGGCTCTGCTCCCATATTGCAGAGAGTGTGGTGGGTGCCAGAGGACTGCCCGGGCACTCACCGGAGGCTCTGAAAGTGCCTGTAGAGGACGTACTTCTGGCACAGATATTGTAGCCTGCGAGTGCTCAGCTCCATGGTGGTGGTGGTGAGCTCCAAGGCCTTGCTGTGAAGGTAACGTGGCAACCCCAGCTTGCACTCCCCACTCAGGAGCTGCAGGTTCTCCCTCTGGGCCTCCATGTCCATGTGGTACACTTTTTCCTTGGGGGTGACCAGGGGCCTCTGCAGAGAGAGCTGGGTCTCCCTTCGGATGGATGTGCCAGTGACAGGAAAGGAGATAGACTTCTTGGGCTTGGCCCGTGGCAGCTGAGTGCACTCGGTTAAACTCACGGTCCTCTGGTTTCCTGGGCCAGGCTGCTGGGGATGGTAGGACCTGGGCAAGTATGGCCTCCTGCCTTGGCGAGCAGATTGGGCCCGGCTTGAGGGAGGCTCTGCCTTCTCCAGGTTCCTCCACCAACTGGTGTTTGTAGAGACTGGCCTCTCAGTGTCTTCCCTTGGCCCCATTGGCTCCCTCCTCAGGCTCTGTGGTTCCTCTTCTAGCCAGGCGAGTATCTGCCGTTGCAGCCTGGTAGCTGCCTCTATGCCCCATCGCTGCAGCTTCTCCTGGTGCTCCTGCTCCAGCAGGGTCCACTTTCTCTGCCTTTGCAGCCACATCTCCTCCTCCTGCAGCCACTGCTGCCTCCGCCTCTGCCACCAGCGCTCCTCTTCCCAGTGTCCTGCTTGGCTCTCTGAGGGCACCTTCCCAGAGCTCCCTGGGGATGGCTGCTTCCTAAAATGCAGCTTAGTTTGGACTCTTTCTTTTTCTGGGAAGTGGTCTCCTTGGTTTTCATCTTTGTGGACTGGGCCTTCTGCCATCAGCTTCTCCTGTTTTGTTCGGAATTTGTGGTCTTCTGAGGGTGACAACACAGGCTGAAGGATCTCAGTGTCCTTGAACACACCTGTGATCCTGGAATGTATGCTCATGGTGGAGAGCGGTTGGCATGCTGAAGAAGTCGCCTCAATGTCCCAGGTTGTGGCCATGGGACTTGAGGGAAATGGTGAAAGCAACAGCTCCTCCTCCCAGGGATCCCTTTGGGCCTCTTCTGTGACTGCTCCCATCTGTTGAAGGGCTTTTTCCTCAGGGGCAGCTGGGGAGTCAGGAGACACCTCAGCTGGGTCCCCGGCTGGACCTCTAGCAATCTGGATCTTCTTCAGTTGGAACTCTAGGATGTGCTTTGTCAGGACAAGATCATGGCACTTCCCACTGAGAACCGCTACCTGTTTTAGGAGAGCATCCCTCTTGCTCTCAAGGTCTTGGATGGACTTCTGGAAGTGCAGCCTCTGGGTGCTGAGCTCTGTGGCCATCTCTATTTGCAAGCACTTGTATTTGGTTTCCAGGTTTCTGTTCTCCTTGTGCTGGAGGATCAAGGCCTTGTTGAGGTTCTCTACCACAGTGGACATGTACCTGATGGCCTTGATCTCTCCCTTGTTGAACATGGTGGAGTCCAGGAGCTCCTGCAACATGGACGTCACCTCAGAGGCCTTTGAACAGGTGGCATGCTTGTCCTGAAGCATCTGTTCTGGGCTCAATGGCTGAGGGTGGAGTGAAGATTTTTGTGGGCTTTTCTCCCGCCAGTTCTGCCAGAAGATGTGTTTGGGCACTAGGAGAGATAGAGAAGAAAAAAGCCAACAAATTCCCTTGAATTCCAAGAATTATACTGATTCTCTAGACCCTACTTGGGCAAAATGCTCATCTACCCCTTTCTGGATTGGGCAAAAATGAGCTGGGGACAGGGATTTAGCTCAGGGGTATAAGTGCCTGCCTGGGAAGTGTGAAGTTGTGAGTTCAATCTCCAGTACAAAAAAAAAAAAAAAAAAAAAAAAAAAAAAAGGAGCCAAAGCTGCCTGTCCTCGGGAACCCTGCTGAGTTGAGCTTGCAGAGCTTGCCTTTAGGTCTGTCAGCTCCACAGTGCCTGCAGAGCCCAGAGGGGTCACTCCAACCTGACTCTGTTCAATATACCATTGGCCAGACATGGTGGCATATACCTGTAGTCCCAGTACTCAGGAAGCTAAGGCAGGAGAATCACCCCACAAGTTTGAGGTCAGCCTGAACTACATAGTGAGACCCTGTCTCAAACAAATAAACAAGCAAACCAACCAACCTGGGTTGTACCTATAGGGATCTATCACAGTTGGACTTGTACAGTTCAACAGCTATTCACCTGTTTTCTCTCTAAACATGACTAATGTCAGCTGGATGTGTTGGCATGTTCCTGTAATCTTAGCTCTTGGGGAAACTGGGGAGGATTGCAAGTTCAAGCTTTCACAGTTGATTGATCGGGTCAACTTGACAAGTACAGACGTTGAATTAAGTTAGCTTGGCAATTCTAAACCCTAGGTTGTAGAGGACCTGTCGTAGGGCAGCTCATCACCTAGACAGTACAAGGGGAAATGATAGACTCTGGAAACGTCCATCACAGACCCTGAGACAGACTGGTACTGGACACTGCAGTGAGCTCCAGACCTTGCACTGAAACCTTCCGTCTCCAGTGTGCAGACACTCTCTGCACACACTTCCTCATCCAGCTCGTGGCTGGCCATCCAAAGCCAATCTTGTAACTTCGTATGCATTTGTATGTCTTATCTTATATCTGTTTCTCCAGGAAAACACTAACATACAAGTCCTGCTTAGGCAATTTAGTGAGACCCAGTCTCAAGATACAAAACTAAATTATGTAATGTATTTAATAAATACATTATGTAATGTATCTAAATAAATGTAATGTATCTAAATAAAACTTGTTTTCAGAAAAAAAGTAAAAATCAAAAGGGGTTAGGGATGAAAGCCAGTGGTAGAGACTCTGGGTTCAATCCCCCAGTATGAAATGAATGAGTGAATGAATTCCTAAGGTCTTGACCAGGCAAGGTGGTGCACGCAACTCCACCACTCGGAGAGCTGAGACAGGATTGAAAGTTTGAGCCCAGCTTGGGCATCGACAACTTATTGAGACCTGGTCTCAAAGTGAAAAAAGTGTTGGGGATGTAGCTCAGTTTGAAGGCCGTGATTTCGATTCCCCAGTACTACCACAGCCACCATAACAAAGACTAACATCTTTTTCCATTTGGGAGAGGTGTCACAGCTTCCTTGATATTCTAATGAAAGCAGCAAACCCTCATCCCAAGACAGTGTGCTCAGCACAGACTGTATGTGCTGTGTTCAATGCCACCAACAAACTTCAGCTCTTCAAGGGCTGGTTACAATCACAGTGCCCTGCCCCTGGACCTACAAATTCGTAGGACAGCTGGAGGGATCATCGTGGCACATCTGTTCAATGACTATCACTGACAGACAACGACAGAGGCTAAATTTGGGCAAGGGAGGGGCTAGAGGAAATCTGGAAATTAAATGATACTGAGGTCCAGGTGGTATCTAGCTATTTTTGCCCTATGGCTCTGCAAGTAGTACAGAGCTTAGGTTATGGGGCCAGGTAACTTGGCTTTAAACCTCATTTTTTTCACTTCCCTTGGCAAATTTTTGAACTTCTCAGTGCCTCAGGTTCCTCATCCAAAAATTGGGATAATCAGAGCATTTACATTATAAGATTTAATTAATCCTTCTGTTTCAGCCTCTCAAATGGTGGAGTTATAGGTGTGAGTCACCATGCCTGGCAGCTGCTGTTTATTAAATCCTGAGTGTCTTCCAAATAAGGCATCAGACACTTTATACCTTGAGAAAACTCTACAAGTAGGTATTTTCCTCCTTTTTTTTTTTTTTTTTTTTTTTTTTTGACACAGGTTCTCTGTAAGTCATTTAGTTACCCAGGTTAGGCTCAAACTTGCAGTCCTCCTGCCTCACTCTTCCAGAGTGCTAGGATTATATGCATGCAGTATGATGCCTGGCTTCCCTTCATTTTAGGGATTGAGAAATTGAGGCTCAGAGAGATAAAGTAATTTGCCCAAAGTCATAAAGCCAGAAATTGAAAAAGATGGAATTTGAACTTGTCTGACTCCAAACCCACGCTCTTGAGTAAAACTAACCTACATGTGGGGCCTGGCTTTGCCATGAACTCTCTTGTGGTTCCTTCTCTTCTCTAACCATCAATACTCTCATCTACAAAATGTAGTAATTAGAAAACCTCAGTGACTTATAGTGTTGATAGAAGTAAAATTCTAAGGTTCAGCCACGTCATTGACTGACTACCATGGGAGTAGCCATGATCAGGAAGATTCCAGAGGGGCCTCTGGTTGAGCCTCAGCAAACTTTCTGGTGCAGCATGTAGATTTGGAGTAAGAAAGGATGTTCCTTGGGCTCTGGCCATAGCCTTGCTGACCTTTGGGCCTTCTTCCTGCAACCCGCACAAAGCCCAGCTCCAGAAAGCAGCTCCAAACACGTCTCTCTACCTGTGGTCTTAGGACTTAGGTCTTGGAGGCTTAGAACTGCTCAGTGCTCACTTGGATTCAATATCTTGACCCACATCCCGGCCCCCAGCTCGTACTTTATTTTGTACTTTTGTTCACTTTTTTGAGACAGGGTTTCATTATGTAGGCCGGCCCTTAAACTTGGTGAGTTCCCGAGTGCTGGAACGACAGCTGCGTGTCACCATGCATCTCTGTGCCCGCCCGCCCGTACTTGCTATGAGGGAAGACTGGAAAACCCCTAAGCACTTGGTGCACACCTTTTCTCCTGAGTCAGGTCTATCCCAGCCCCACCCGCTCCCCTTGCGGGTACTCCAGGAACCTACTTTGTGACCTTTTCTTTTGCTCTTCAATGAGAGTGGAACAAAGGGAAATGAGAGATTCTATGCCTCCTTTGGTGGTGACGAGGGAGAGAGGCAGCACCTTCTCTATTACTTCGACCCATTCATTCAGGGCTTCCTCTTCCTCCTCACTCTTCCTGTTCCTGATCTCGTAGGTCAGACTGTCACCTGGACAAGGAGTGGGAAGAGCAAACTGAGGATAGTCTGTCTTCTAGGGAGCCCCAAATAGCTCTTGGTGCAGGGGTCTTAGCAGTTTTGAGGTCGATTGGCTTTACCTCCTACTATCTATGTAATACGTAGCAGGTCACTTACTCCCCTGAGCATTAGTTCTGATCATCATTTTGATCATTCATTTCAGTGATACTAAAAATTCACAGCAAATATTTCTTCAGAATTTCAGAACTTGCTGGAGATTTGCAGTTTCCTTAACCGCAAAAGCCTTGGGTGATGATTAAATGTGATAATACAGGTGAAATCATTAATACGGGCTTGGCCATGTAGAAATACACATTAGACACTAACTACTGTACAATGAGGTCAAGGAGGTACCTGTCTTGTTACTGCTCTGTATCCATCGCCTTATCCAACATCTGGACAGTTAAGTAAACTAAGGAGAGTGTACAGCTGTCTTAGCTCTTAGGGGAGCTGAAGGACATTGTGCTGAGAACTCCCTGGGCAATGGCAGGGCGGACAGATAGAGCACATCTCCACTTCCTCCAGCCCTTCAGGATCCAGCAGGCTTTGCTGCATATAGGCTGTTAAGTCTCGGATCTGAGCAGGGGTAGCCCTAGGCTTTGGGGCTGTGAGCCCAGGTCCCGCTCCTGAGCAGCAGTGCCAGTTTCACATGGCTGGCATCACTGCCTGTGCAGTAAGGTCATTTGCCGCTTTGAATATCACACGGGCTCCTCTATGAAATGGCTAATACGGGTTTGCATTCATTTTCTATCCTGCTAACAAGATGAGATATCACATTGGGCCTGTGGCTTAGCAGTCATTATTTACTGATCTACCACATTTTGGACAGCTACATGTTCTCCCCTGTGGAGTGAGACCACTTGCAGTGACATGAGTGGGGGGAAGGTTTCATGAGTTGGGGGAAAGGGAATTGCAGCGTGTCCTTTGATGTGCCTCCGACCACTTGCACTCCCCTCCCCATAAATGCTGATCTAGGTAGAGAAAGAAAAAGACTGAGTGAGCAGGGACCAGCATCCAGAGGGAAATCACCCGCCCTGAGGGCTGCACCTGGACCGAAGACTCACCCCAGTCACCCAGCCAGTGGAGGATTTCATATAGGTTCTTCTCTTTCGTCTTAGCATCTTTGTAGAAGGAAGCAATTTTCTCTAGCAAGATGAATCGCTTCTTGCCCTTTTGCTCCATCTGGTAAGATTTTGTTTTTTCTTTTAAATCATATCCCAGTTCCTCCTGGAAGCGGTTGATGACACCATTGACATTGTCCAAGATGTCTGACAGCTGGGTAGAAATATCCTAGATAGGAGGTAGCAGATTGCAGTGTTTAGCAGTATAGACTTTGGTGCCAGATGCTTGGACAAGTCACTGAAACTCTCTGTGTCTGAGTGGTTTTTATTTTTGTTTTTGTTTTGTTTGCAAAGTGGAGATTGTTACAGGATTTACCTCACAGGGTATTTGTGTTTGTTTCGGTTTTTTGAGACACAGTCTGCTATGTAGTTCACACTGACCTTGAACTCACTATAAACTCGGGCAATCCTGCCTCAGCCCCCAACTCCTACCCTCACTTGGTGCTGGGATTACAGGTGTGTGCCACTACACCCTGCTCGAAGGGTACTTGTAAGGATTAATTGAAGTAATTCTTTAAAGTGCATTGAACAGTACCTGGCACAGGCAAAAGCATTCACCCTTATTACCACTGATATTAAATTCAGTGACCCCAAACGGCACGGAGGCACATGCCTGTAATCCCAGCACTCTGGAAATTGAAGTGGGGGATCATAAAGGAAGTAGGCTGTGGCGGAGCTGCCTGGGGAAATAAACAGGCCCCGGCAGCTACACGAGGTCTCAGGGCAGGGCCAGATGACTCTCAGGACCCCTTATATAGTACGTCTCAAGGGAGTTCCCACTATTGTGACTTCACAGTCGCTTGTCCTGCATCTCCTAGGATGTACTTTTACTTTTGTTCTTTTTCTCTTTATTTGTTTGACCCAAATTTGCTCAGCAGAAGTAGTTCTTCTCTTATTTCTTCACTCCTCATTTTAAAATAAATTTGTGGTACTGTTTTTGGTTTGTCTTGTGCAATTCTATTAGACAAGAAGGACCTGGAATACTTTTGTTTGGCATGCCATTTCTAAAGGAACTACCTGACAACAGGATCACAGCAAGTTCAAGGCCAGCCTGGGCTCCATAGTGAGTTCAAGGTCAGCCTGAACTACATGGTGAGACCCTGTCTCAAAACAAACAAACAAAAGTTCAGTGATGCTAAATATCCACAGCAAGCATTTTAGAATTCAAGACAAGAAATTATCAGGATCAGAGGCACAAGTTAAAACTTCTCTAGAGGCTCATTAGGTACAGAGTGATTCAAACCTTTGGCCAGTACTCTTGAATACTCTCAAGACTGAACTTAGAGGATTCTGGCAATTGGCCAAGAGTAGACTGAATCAAGAAATCTGGGCACCTTCCTGCCCCTCTCCAACCCAGCACTCTGGGTCATCCTGGCATTCCTGCCACTTACCTGTACAGGGCTGCTGCCGTCCCTGTGGTGGGATCCAGCCCACCCTGCAGAAGCCAAGTATAGGATGTGGCTATTTTGAACTCATATTTGTCTGAAAAACCAGTTTACTGAGTATCCCAGGACATCCCCACTCACACATTTGGAAATGAAATCTTTTTTTTTTTTTTGTCTTTTTCATTTTTATCGGTACCGGGGATCGAACTCACAACCGCCTGCTTGCAAGGCAGGTGCTTATGCCACTGAGCTAAATCCCCAGCCCCTGGAAATTACCCCATGCTTAAACATGGGGTCAGTCCCCAGCCTCTATGTTGGACCCCAATACAAGGGTGCTTCTCTCATCTCACAGCTTACTGCCTGAGCCCGAGCGAGCTGGGCAGTCTCAACCCTCGAGATGATGCTCTTCACTGAGGCAGGAGCCAGCAGCTGTGGGGCGTTGTCCTTCTCCATTCTGGATAACTGTCAGTCCCAAGATGCCCTTGTTTCTGGTACACAGGCTGAGACACACAGTGTTGGCTGTTTTGGTGGTGAAAGGCCCCAAGGTGGCTCCTTGGGCACATTCCGCCCTGTCACAACTCCTCTAGTAACTGCCAGGTACCAGGTTCTAACTGCCCCTCTTTTCCTAGTGACATCATTGGTCTGATTTAAAGATTAGACTTCTTGCCATCAAGCTGACCTGTTATTCAGCTTTTTGTCCATTACTTAATATTATATTTTCTTGACCTGCTGTTTTTTAAGAATCATTAAATGTTAATCTCCCAAAGTAAACATTTAATGGCTAAAAATAGGGAAAGACAATTAGAAAAAAGTTATTTTCCCTATAGTTTCCTGAGTGTCTCATGTGCCAAAGACTCGCCCCTGGGCTGAGGCCACTGGGAAGCCATGGAACTTTGTGAGATGGGCTGTTTGTTCGAGGTCCTAATGTCACTGTGGGAGTCCCTGCAAGTGGACTGTGCAGCCCCAGCACCTTCTTGTCCCTGTTTGCTCCCCCGCTTAGGATATAAACAATTTTCTCATACTGCAGGCAACTTCCATTACCATCTGTGCCCATCCCAAGCAATGGGGATACTCAGTCATGGACTGAATTCCCCAAACTGTGAACCAACATCAACCTTTTCCAAGATCACCACCTCAGGTACTTTGTTAATAAGGAAGAAAACCTGACTTCCAAACTTTCCCAAAGAGAACTTTTATTTATTAATTTTTAAATTAGAGCCAACTAATAACTGCGTAGGAATATGTCCACATTTGCCCCAAGGATCAAGGCTCAGGTGATACTTTTCCTTACTGAAGGTGATAGTCATGGCAGGAGACTGGGCCCAGGACCAGGACCTGTATCCCCAGGACCTGGACCATGCTTAGCATATAGTAGACACTTACTAAGCACTTCAGCAAATAACAGATGGATATATAAACAAATGTGTATACATAAAATTATTCTCTCTTGGTACTAAAACTTACCATCTAATAAATAAGGAATTAAACAGTGTTGACTGTTCCTCAGAGGTATAGGCCACTTAATAACTCCTCACAGATTCTCGCCTGTCTTTCACACACAGTATCACTCATGCATTTACTTAAAGTTAATTATCTCATGGTTTATTCACTCACCAAGGGAAGGGAGTAAAACCTCGCTCTTTCTTTGAGGTACTCAGACCTTGCTGTATGGATGCTTGTATAGCTCATCAGGTCCTGGATGGTCCTTTAATGCTTTATGATTTCAGAATATGTAGTTTACAAATCAGTGTCTATCTTTATCTCTGTCTCTCTTTTAGATTGAACCCGCAGCTTTGTAGCATGTTAGCATTAAGCTATATCCCTGGTCCCAAATAACTTTTATTTGTTGGTACTGGGGATCAGACTCAGGACCTTGCACATACCACGTAGGCGCTTTACCCCTACGCTAAATCCCAGGCTCCAACTTATTTATTCTCACAAATATACACAAGGCAGCTAAGGCTCAGGGGGGTTAAGAGAATCACCTAGTTAGAGCTGGGAAGTACAAATTTAGGGCTCTAACCTGGCTTCATGACTCCCAGGGATATATTTTTTCCTCCTTCCCTCCATTCTAATTTTCTTTCAAATTCAATCATATTTAAAATATAAAAATTAAAACCAATTAAGAAATTAACCAATTAAAATATAGAAATTGTAAAGTTCAGTTAAGAAAAACTCAAAGCTAGGTGAGTAGTACAAGCCTATAACCCCTGCTACTCAGGAAACTGAGGTAGGAGGATCAAAACTCCAAGGCTGGGCAGAAACTCAATGAATCTTTGTCTCAAAAAAAAAATAAGAAGGATTGGGATTGTAGTTCAGTGGTAGGACAATTGCAATTGCTTAGGATGCCTGCTACTCTGGGTTCACCCCAGTAACACACAGACACACACAGACACACACACACACACACACACACACACACACGAAGACCTGTGTGTGTATACATTGTAATCAATCCCAGTACTTGGAAGGCTGATGCAGGAAGATTTCTGTGAGCTCAAGGCTAATCTGGACAACATAGTGAGTTCAAGGTCAGTTTAACTATATGGCAAGACACTGTCTCAAAATATATTAGAAAAACAAAGAAAGAAAAGTAACTTATGACCCAACCATATCTTGTCTACATAAAACACACTTAAAAATACATATAGATTAAAAGTAAAAAGATTAAAACAAGTGCTGAGTGTGATGCATACATCTACAGTCCCAGCTAGTTGGGAGGCTGCAGGATTTCTTGAGCAAAGATTCAAATTAAAGTATTGATACCAGCAAAAAGAGAGGGGACATCACCAGAGATGGTACAGTGAAAATAACATTGGGAGTGTTGTGGGGAAAAAGTCCATACAATTGGAGTCTGATGAAAGAATTTTGCCCTAGAATAAATTACTGTTCGGTTATGGCGGGGGTCTAACATGGCGGAAGGCCAAAGCAGGAACAGGAGCGCTTACCACTTCCTGCTTCTTCTTCAGGCCTAATTGTAACTCCTCTTTCTGTTTGTGCTCCAAGAAAATCCCAATCAGCTCCTAGCACATCATCAATGCCCGCCCTAAGCACCAGCCCCACTCAAATGTTACATATGTCCCACACCCCCCATATTCCAGTCGAAGCTACCATGGGTTGTGTGCTCTTTCCCATGTCCTCATCTCAATAAACCTATTCTTTCTGTACATTAGTTTCTCCATTGTGCCAGAAAACTCTTAACATAATGGTGCCAAACTCAGATGGCAGAATGTGGTAGCTCCTGGGAGCCCCTCCTAGTCCAAGCTACTCTGCCTAGGAATCACCTATTTTTTTCTGCGGGACTGTTCACTTGCTGCCACTAATCCGAATGCAACAGCGACCTTCCTCTCTCATCACAGGTGAGCTGCTGCGCAGGGTGTTCTGTTTCTGTTCCTAGAATTCGCAAGCTTGGGTCAGAAAACCTATCCTCGCTGTCCCTGGACAGAGATACCAGTTTTCACGTTCCTTAGGCTGTACAGCCTGAGGTGAAATTGTTATTTTTGTTACCTGGGACTCCCCCTGCACTCTTCCATGAGGGCAAGGGCAGAGGAGAATGGGTGTTGGGATCTTCCCTGTCACACTTTCAAAACAGGTGACAAACCTCTTGATAGGTGTGATCCAGGACAGCTTCCATGGTCTTTGGTGGGGAGCTAAAGATCTTATGTCCTGAGGTGAAGTTGTTCTCTCAGCTCACTTATAATTCGGTCATGGGGACCATTTCCTGTCCCCCAAAAAACACACCATTGGGATGCCTGGTTCATAGCCTTGGTGCTCTTGGCCTCAAGAAGACCATAAAAACCAAAAAGTGGATATTTTATTGATGCTTTTGTCACAATGGCAGCAAGTTGGCTGGCCTTTCATTTTCAGGCCTTTTTCACTTTGAAGACGTGTCCTTCTCTCACTCTGTCTTCTATGATGGCCCAAGCACTTCTGGCTTGCTCTGCTCCACCAGGAACTCTCCCTCCTTCCCCACAGGACCCCTTAGCTGATGTATCGCCTGTCTTTATGGTTCCTCCCCGTATGTCCCAGACCAAACCCACAGCTTTCTCAGCCAGAGGTTTCTGTGCCCCCTGTGCCATCCTCTCCCCCTTACTCACTCTCAGTGTCCTCTAATCCTTCCCTTAATTTCTCTTCCCAGTCTCCATTTTCTCAGTCCTCTCCATCTGAGCCATCTATTCTATCAGATGGTTCTTTGTCTCCTTCCCCTTTATCACCATTTTCTCCACTGGCTTACCATATGCAGTCTCGTGTGTTCCAGCCTTCCAGCAGGCCACATGGTTCTCAGCAGCCATTTTGCTGCAGCTCCCATGGAAGACAGTTGCCATCTTGAAGCCCTTCTCCATGCAACAGTGCACCGCTATTTTGCAACGGGTTGCAGAGTCAATGGTCACCCTCTTGTAGTCCCTCATCATGGGACCAGCAGCAGCCATCTACAGGCTGATCCCAAGGGATTCGTTCATATTCATGTTCCTTTTTCTTCTCTGACCTATCTCAGATTGGCCATCAATTAGGTTCCTTTTCTGCTATTCTTTTTTCAAGAGATCTCTATTAATTGATCTACAAAAAGGTTCATATTAGCCGGGAGTGGTGGCTCATGCCTGTAATCCCAGCACTCGGGAGGCTGAGGCAGGAGGATTGTTGCGAGTTAGAGACCAGCCTGGGCTACAAAGTGAGCTCAAGGCCAGCCTGAACTGCATAGTGAGACCCTGTCTCAAAAAGACAAAAAAAAAAAAAGGTTCACACTAGTCTATTTATTATAGTTAAAATTGGCCAAATATATTTGAGTGCACTCTGATTTTTTTTTTTTTTTTGTCTTTTCTTTTATCGGTACCGGGGATTGAACTCACGACCGCCTGCTTGCAAGGCAGGTGCTTATGCCGCTGAGCTAAATCCCCAGCCCCATGAACTCTGATTTTGTAAGATGTTTGTCAGTCTATAAATCTGTTGTCTGTTTGTCCAGTCTGTTTTTACTGTACAGATTTCTGTCCATGTTTGTCTATTTGTCTGCTCTGTAAACAGCTGTTCCTTTTTATATGAGCTCAACAATCTTTTTTCCTCTTCTTTTGCATTTTCAGATCATTTAATCAAGATTTATTTGGATTATAGATTTATTTTTTGTCTTTTTCATTTTTATTGTGACTGCTTGCTTGCAAGGCAGGTGCTTATGCTGCTGAGCTAAATCCCCAGCCCCTTGGGTTATAGATTTAAAAAACATGCTTCCATCTAGGTTGTCAGTTGTTCAAAATGATGCTAAAACTGGTTAAGCAAAATCCCTTGGGGTGAGGAGACATTGAACAAGACTTCAACTGATGAATAAGAAAGTGGCCACCAGGTAACTTTAACCAGTTCTTACTCATTAATTGGAAGCCCCAAAAATCTCCATAGTCTTATGGGAGACACCTCAACTAAATAAAGTTCATATGACTAAGACAGTTCATTGTTGCTGATCTGGTGATATATTCATGCCTTCAAATATAAAATTGGGATTGTTTATGATGATAAATATTTTCTTTCAGATCCAGACATCTGCCTTTTTCTTGTGCTCCAGCCAAGAGATTCAAGTCAAACCAACGTGAGGTCATCAGTCA